AATGTTTTCATAACAGTCATACTTATAAGATATTGAAATAATTATTATCATTTTAATTAAATATTTTTTAAAGTTTAAAATAAGAAGACATTAATTTTTGCTTGTTTTAACATGTGTTCTAATATTTTTATGTGTATGTTATTAATTCATAACTATATTATTATTTTTTATAAAAAGTATAAAATAATAACATATTATGACTATTAATTTTTAGTCTATTCTATTTAATAATTTTTTGTTTATTTCCCTAGCTGTTATAAATTCCAAGAAAAAAGTCAAATAATAAATTTTCTTATGGTTTGATTCTACGCCCCAGGTGTTTTGAAGTGGTTATTTTGAATGATTGCAATGCACAACATAAGCCACAAATGGTGCATATTTTCGAGCATTAAAGAGTCAATATCTCTCCATGAAAATTAATACGACCCTCTTTTTTTAAACCAAAATCACAACCAGAACATCAAAAAAATCATAATTTATCACCATATCCCTATTTCAAATTACATATAACATACCAAAGGAATCTCCATCAAGCATTTTTTATCTTTGCTTTTACCAAAATGAAGTCAAATTAAATTTCATCCATTTAGCACCATAATATTAAACTTATAGAGATAACCAATTTGTTAAAATATTCAATAACTCAAATTATAAATTAAGTTTTTTTTTTTTATTTTTTTTTCCGGTACAATAAGGGGAGACCGAAGCCTAACAAAGTCTAAGACAAAACATGTCGGGGATAAGCTACCCCATAATATAATGCTCAAGCCACCTGCCTATGGACAGAGGTAGGACAGGTACATGGTGCACCTCAAGGGGTTCAGACGCTGCTAAGAAAGTCAGGTGATCCGCAGTGAAATTCGCTTCCCGAAACACATGATCGAGGTCCACCGACCAATCGTGATCCTGTAATTCTCGTATTGCCTGAGTGAGGCTATCATGAATCTCACCTGCATCCTCACGTCCCACAACCATACTAACCATGCTACTGTTGTTAATTTCCGCCACCACTTTACGAGATCCAAAGTCCATGCAAGAGATAAACTAAGTTTTCTCTTTCGAAGAGAACGGTCAATTCAATTAATTTATCTATTTCATCAATAAAAGTATTCGGTAATAAATATGTGTAACTTTTTACGTTTTCTTTATTTTTAAGACAAACTGTGTAATTTTCTAACAACAAATTTCAACATTATTTTTCTATTTTTTTCTTTTCCATCAACTCAAATACACTAAGGCCGAGTGAGTTAGTACGTTCTATTCACATCAAGATTATCTCATTTTTTATATCAACCACAGACTTGGATATTATACCTCCAGTTTATTTCTTAATTTTATATCGGTTATATACCTAATAGTTTGAACAGCATTACTTGAATTACCCCACTCTTGAAAAACTGAATGTTTGGAGAATAAACTTATTAGAGTTGATGTGTTATCACTCGTAATAAAATATGATTCACAAAACAAAATTTTAAAAATTAAATGTTGTACATAATTAATTTTTAATTATCTTTTACATATTAAAATTTGAGTCTAACATAATAAAAAAATATTTTCACTAAATCTAATATCTTCAATCTTACTGACTACACAACAATTCACAATACAACACACCCACACAAATTTTATTAATTATGCTCCTTTATTCTCTACGAAAAATACACCACCATTGTTCCTCTTAGTTTTCTTACACTTCCAAGTTTCTTTTTTTTTTTTTCCAAAAGTTGTAAATAAGATATAAGAGAAAGTGAAGGATTGTTAGTTTAAGTAAGTCTTGCCATAAATTTAAATGAGTTCCACATTTATATATTGAACATTTTTTTGTACATACTTGCTATCTTTTCTATGCATCCTATCTATATATTAATTAACATAAACTCGTATTTCAAACACCGAGATCTATAAAATTTGGTGTGTTTTGATGTGTTATCGTTGAATAAGTTCATTATTTTGACAACTTCCATTATTACCAAAATTATGCTCATATACACATTAAAATAAATGTATTATGTAATTATTGAAAAGAGCTTTTATAAAGTAAGTATGAACATAAGACAAATGTAAATTTTTTTTAAAAAAAAAAAAAATTATGTCTCAACTTAAATAAAGACTACAAAGAGATTGAACATTATAACGATATCTAAAATTAAAAAAATGTTAATTATAATTAAAAATTATAAAAGTAATTATTATAAATCATAAATTTTAAAAATATTACACTCGTACGCATTATATTTAATTATTTAATATTAAAACTTTGAAAATATTTAAATATATAATAGATGAGAGAAGAAAATTATGTATATTAAATATTAATCAAACAATAGAAAAAAATTAAATTACTTAAAATAAAACTATTGAGTTTCAGATAATATAAATATATACATACGTGTGTGTTTGGGTGTTAATAATAAAAAAATATCATTTTGACAAATCAAGTGTAAAATATAGATATTATTTTAAATAAATAATTTTTAATTATTAGTTCTATACGTATCGAATTCACAGCAGCGCCCGAAATCCACGACGAACCCTACCCCCAAAATCCACTCCTCGTCCCTCTGCAATTAATCTGTTGCGTCTCTCCCGACGACGGCAACGCCACGGCCATGGGTCGTCCTTGACCGCCTGGCCCTTCTCTGGTAAGAGTGACCCCGATTAAACCTTGGAGTTTCGCGGCGGAGTTCGGTCAATTGGGGGCAGGGATGGCCTCGGTCGGCGACGACAGCCTCCAGGTATGGCGCTTCGCAGGCGGTTCGGGTCTCCACCTCAATTACCGGCGGGAGCTGCTCCGTGGAGGTAAGGCCCTTCATTTTCCCCTTCCCTGCTGTCGATTGGGTGTTTCTTCTCCGGCGGGTTTGCCTGCTCCGGAGGGGTTGGGCTCTAGTCGCCGGAGCTCCGAGGTTGTTTGGTGCGTCGCTTGTTCTTAGGGCTCCGATCCCTGCGACTTGGTTGTTGTGGTGGTTGGGGTTAAGGGTGTGACCTCCCTTGTGCGTGCCCGGCCGACTAGTGGTGTTAGGCGACGGGGGTCCGTGTTCTATCGAGCTTGCTGAGTTCGGGCGGAGCCGGTGCGAGGGCTGGTGGCGGCTCTTTCTGTTGACGATGGGTCGATTCTGGGATCGGTTCGGGACTCGATGTCTTCTACTGTATAGGCAGTAGGCAGTTTCGGTAGCGGATTCTCGAGTAGGGATCTTTCTTGTGTCGATCGTCCACTGCTGGTTGGATTTGTCTGCTCGCTGGGGGAGGGCTCCTCTTTTTTATAGTAGTTTTCCTGTTTATGTGTCTGTTTGTTTGTGTTTGTTTTATGTTGTGATCGTGTTTTAGGTTTGGGCCATTGGCCTCTGTGCATCCGGGTGTCAAATATATTACTCCGATTGGGGTCCGACATTCCGGTATTACCCTGTGGAGGTCTTATCTTGTTGTTTTTGTTGTTTAAGTCGTTGTTTATTACCCTGTGAGGGTCTTATCTAATTGTTTAGTTTAGTTGCGAGTTTTTCTTCCTAGCGGTTGCTAGCCGGGTTTCTAGGCGGTCTCTGGACATGTCCTCCCACTTTTCAGCCGTTGGCTCCTTGTATTCGCACACTTGTGCGCTTTTGATTTATAATAATATCTATTATTTCGGAAAAAAAATTATTAGTTCTATACTTAATTTTTTATCCTTATATTCTTTTGATACAAATACTTTATTTTTATTTTAACGCACTCCTGTTATTTACTGGCATTATATCTTAACTAAAATAAATAATATTTCACAAAATATTTATTAGATTTTAAAATAAAGTTACAAATCCTTTTATTTTATTATAAATTATTTATAATTTTTATTTCAATTTTTTTTTTTTTTTTTT